AGGAAATTATCTGTTTTTCTGTTCTCAGCTATTGCAGAGCATTTTGGAGAGACTCAGCAACACTACAACTTCATAGCAAAAAGACTGATGAACTATTAAACCCAGAAATCTATTTTACATGCTGGTGTACTTACCAGCTACATAACAGAAATATGAGAAAAATACACAATAGAGAGGTTCTTCTAATTCTCTGAAATCCATTTACTTTGCTTTCAGAAAATCACATTTCTTATTACAACCACAGATATTCTTATTATCCATCTAAATGTACAGTACTTTATGAGTCTTGATAGTCTCCTGATCTTAACATAATCTGAAAGCCATATCTAGAAGCTGGTTTGCTCTGTGCCTATTGAATCCCTACTGAACACAGATCAGTTGCTATAGTCAATATCTAAATAGAATTTCCTGACAATATTCCTCTCTATATTTCTAACTAGAAATTTCTAGTGAAAGCTGTAATCCTCACTCACCCTTCAACAGCCCCATATGGCCAGTGCAGCATTCTAATGGAGAATGGGGACAAACAGTGGGCTACCGTGGCCTGAATGAAGTTACACAAGCAACGAGTGCTGCCATGCCAGAGATGTCAGAGCTTCAAAAGGAACTGGAGTTGAAGGCAGCCGAGTGGTATGCTATGGCTGATACTGCTAACCGGCCTTTCTCCATTCCTATAGCACCAGAGTGCAGGCCATAGTTTGCCTTCACTGGGAAGGGCATCCAGTACACCTGGAAATGACTGGCCCAGGGGTGGAAACTCAGCCCCACCATCTGCCACGGACTGACCTATACTGCACTGGAGAAAGGTCTACGACAACCTGGCAGAGGTCCATCTGCTTATATTTTAGTACCACCTTCCTCTTTCTGGGACTGTGATTTGAGGGTTTGCTGTTATTGTTCCTTTTGTTATCAGAACTGGTATACACTAGAAATAAATTTTAATTGAATCACCCACAATTATTTTTGCAACCACCTATTTTCTTATATCGCTGTACATCACTATTTGTGAAAAAATAGTTGTCTTTTTTCTTCCTCACATCCAACACACAATTTCCAATACCACAAAATCACAAAATGGTAGAGGTTGGAAGGCACCTCCATAGATCAGCAAGTCCAACTGAAAGCTGGGTCAACTAGTGTATACTTCTCTGGGCCATGTCCAGTTGGGTTTTTAGTATCTACAAGAACACAGACTTCACAACCTCTCTAGGTAACCTCTCCCAGTTTTTGACAAATCCCACAGTAAAAATATTTTTCTTATTACGTTTAAATAGAATTTTCTGTATTTCAATTTGTGCACATCTCCTGTCATTTTACTGGACACTGCTCAGATCAATTTTTGCTCATCTTTATTCATATTCTTTGCTGCACCTATCAGGTATTTAAAAACTCTTACAAGCTCCTGAGCTTTCTCCTCTCTGGCTGAAGAGTACCAGCTCTTTCAACCTCTCCTCGTATGACATACACTCCAGTTCTTAATGATTTCATGCTCCTTCACTGGACTTAGTCCAGGTGCTCCTTGTTTCTCTTGCACCAGGAAGCCCAGATCTGGACTCAGCATTCCATATGTAGCATGACCAGTGCTGTACAGAGGGGAAGGATGACCTTCCTCAGCCTGCTGACAACACACTTCCTCATGCAGTGCAGGATGCAGCTGGTCACCTTTGCCACAAGGGCACATTGTTGTTTCATGTTCAGCTTGCATCCTGGAGAACCTCCATGACCTTTTCTGAAAAGCTGCTCTCCAGCCAGCTGGTCCTGCATGTGTCCTGGTGAATGGGATTATTCCTCTCCAGGTGCTGGACTCCATATTTTCTATTACTGAACTTCACAAGGTTTCTGTTCAGCCATTTCTCCAGCCTGTCAAGATCCCTCTGGATGGCAGCATGACCCCCCTGGTGTATCAGCCACTACTTCAGTTTTGTGTCATTTACCAACCGGATACAACAGTATTTCTTTCCTCTAAATCAGTCTTTCATCTGCTATAAAACTCTGTACACTTGCTCTGTATTTTCCTATTTCCATGACTCTCATCAGAGACTTAGTCAAAAGCCTTTAATAAAGCCAAGCAAATTCTACCTCTCACAAATAGTCTTTAATAAACTTTTTCAGAGAATCCTAACAAGCTAATGAAATGTGAATAATTCTATGTGAAACCCTATTTTAAAATCCTGTTATAATCAATTTGTAGTCCTTCCACCTGCCCAGACATAGTCTGTAGATTCTTCAGTATAAAATATAGTATTATTTTATAATCTCTATTATTCCCTAAAACCACAAGGAGTTTTCAGGATGTACTAGTCCTGAAGCAATCAAAGCAACAGCTTCAGTGCCCTGGACACCAAAATCCCACTCTTCCTCACTGTGTGCTGCTGTTAAAGAACAGTGCATGTTAAAGAAAAAAAGGACTGTCCTGTTCATTCTCATGGTAATGAACTGTGGTGTGATTTAGGAAGTATCTGCAGAAACAGAAAAAGCATTGATCATTACATCAGCGTTACTCCCACAGAGCAAAGTGGAAGTGTTTGATCAATGCAGTCTGTATATCACATGCTGAGACTGAAAGTAGAAGTGTCTTATGAAAGCTTAAGAAACAATGAGACTGAAGTACGAGGATATCATACACTTGAGGGTAGAAATGCAAAGCAAATTCTAAATTTCTTTTGCATAAAATAAGCAGTTACAAATAGCTGCTGAAAGGATAATTAACAGAAATTGAATTCTCAGTGAAGTACAGCATAAAGTCAAGAGATGAAAACACTTCAAGAAATGAACTACACCCATAATATTATTTCAGCAGAGCACCTCTTAACTGTTGAAGTAGTGTGATCTTTCTGGGCCTTGCAGATTCGTGGCTAGGCAAATGGTATCAGAAGCTACAAATGCCTTCTGCCATGTCAGATGAACATGAAAACTACCACTTTCATAGCCAAATAACATTTTGGTCATTGCTTTCCACCTATTTTTCAGCTTTAGCCTTAGTTCTGCAATTCCTTGTGCATAGACTTTAAAGTGAATACCCTAAAACGCTGTAGCTAAGGGACAGATAGCACTTAAGAGTTTTGGCACTGATGGTCTGTACACAACAATGCTCCTTCCTCCATCGTAGATCCAATGACTGATTTCACAATGGATTTGGAATAGTACAGCAGTGTTGTGACTTTCACATTACTGTAGGTAAGAAAATGGCTAAAGAAGTGGGCACAAGGAAAGGCTGCCCATTGTTTAGGCTGCTTGTCAGTAGGCCTGCCATCCATCTCTTCTTCACTGTTGTCTCTTCCTTTTTTCATAACCAAACTGTTTTTCAAACTGACATGGTATCTTTACTTATCTTTCCAACCCCAAATTTAACAGTAAGAAAGGCAATGAAAGGGAATAAAAAATAATAATTGTGTTTTCCTGTAACAAGTTGCACCTGGCATGCAGAATTCCAAGCAGACTGTCATAAAGAAAAAGAACTGTAATTTAATCCTCATTAGTCATTTTGTTCTCTTTTAGTTATAAACATAAACCTTCTTCATTCTTGGTACTACTCTCCCACAACAGTACATATACTACCACTTCCTTGACAATGTGAAATAATTAATGTGTAGAAAGCTACATTTAAGTTTAATGCATGTGAGATTTATTCCTGCAAAGTAACTACATCTGGCTGGCTTCCAAAAAAAACTAGCAACTACTACTTTTTTCAGTATGTCCCAATCTGGCTTTTAAATCTTCATTCAAATTAACACTTAGTATGCACCTGCTTATGGTTAGAATCAAATTAAATTAAATTATATTTTATTTCATGCTGCACTGAAATAACATGTTATACACAAAGACACTGTCAAGCACACCGAGGTGTCAGTGGTTACTATTTTTGAAGAGCTAATCATAAAATTATACGTTTACTATTTACGATAGAAATTTACCTAGTTCAAAGTGTAAATTTAGTTATGAAAGCAGGTACAATAATTAGAAACAATTTGTTGTCCTTTTTCACTTGGAGATGAAACAGGTGAAAACAGAGGGGGCTCAAACATGTTAGTGGCACCTGTTACAGGTAAAGCCTGTACTGTGTCTGGCAATGACAGAATACACCAAAAAAAAAAAAAATAAAAAAGTAAAAGGAAAGGAATACACATAAAAGTAGTTCACAGTTTTGTTCAAAATCACTTACACTGAAATACAGTATCACAAAGAGTCCTTAGCAGGACTGCTTCTATTGATGCATGTTTGGACTATTTTTCATTTGGTTTGTTGATTTTTTTAGCTTTAAAGCTTTGACTGTGGCAAAATAAAGATCCTGTAATAAAAAGATTAACTGAAACGTTCTTTAAACTGCCCTTGCCACTTTGAGGCCTTTCAAATGCACAGGCAAGTATTTATTGTGTCTTTACTTGGTAATTTGCTTATTAAAAGGCCAGAGGTATATCCTGACAATCAGCAACAACTGATCACCTGTCAAATATAAATCAATGTTGTCATAGTTAACATGCAATTCACTAAAACAGGCTAATAGCAGATAGAACAAATAACGATGAATTTCTCAGGCAGTACTATATAGGGTTATCTTCTAAAATATAAGAAATATGAAACATAAATGGGACAAGCTGTTGATCTGAGGACATTGAATGCTTGGAAGTTTTCCTGGGTAAACAAGCACCCTTCTATTACACAGAACAAACCATGGTAAATTTACACATGTGGAATTACGTTGGCATGTGGGATTTTGCTTATTTGTTGTCTGGAACCAGGGAATTTACACACACAGAGGAAACTCTCTTTTATCCAAAATGGATAAAACCCCAATGGTTTTAAAAAGAATATAACACCTCAAGATAGCGTTTCTTAAAAACAAAAAAAACAAAAAAAACCAAAAAAAAACACAAAACAACCAACCAACCAACAAACAAATAAACAAAAAAAACAACAAAACCTTCACTTTCTTTTTATATAGATATATATATAAAAATTTTTTTTTTTTTTTAATACTACGTTCCAAATATGTTATTTACCTATCTCAGAAGCAGCCACTGTGATGTTGTACCAAGGGGTCTCCTCTCTGTCAAAGATCTTGGCAGTCTTAATGGTCCCAGTACTAGCATCAATGGTGAAATACCTATCTTCTTCTGTGTTATGATCAATGAAATATCTATGGAGAAAAAAAACAATAAATATATACTCATTACAGTATGTATAATCCAAAGCAACGTAAGCAACGTAAGAATATTACTTTCAAGCTTTTAAAATCATAGAATTTTCTAAAACACAAATATAAAAGCTCTATATTATGGAAACACCCAAAATAACACCATATTTAATTGCTTTCATAATGTTATGTTTCTCTTGATACATAACAAGCTTTCCACTGTGAGTCACAATGACAGAAATTGCTAACAGGTGATATTTTACACAGCAGTATACAATTCTGTCACAGGTAAGATACACATATATTTTGACTAAAAAACAACAATAAATCATAAAATGGAAAGGCAAAAAAAATTAGAAAGATACTAAGATCCTACTCTTCTGCTTCTTTGCTTGTCTCTCAAAACCAATGTGCTCAGTGCCAGTAGCTGTTTTGAAGCATGTCTACCTGACATGAAGTTGATGACATGATGACATGAGCCATTTCGAACGTTAACCATTACAGACACTAGTAGCAGAAACAGCTGATTCCCAGAGCTGCTATCAACACTAGCCTAGAAGCAGAACTCAGCAGCCCTGCTTAACTCCCTTGGTTTCTGGACACTTTGGCTAGCAGAGAACGTAAAAGCCTTGAAGTGGGTAAAGGAAGCAGAGGGAACACAAAAAAAAAGAGATTGACAAGACATTTTTTTTTCTTAAAGCTGGAGTATTTTACTACAGCTTTTAACAAATGAAGCAATTACAGACCCCCTGTTGAAACCATCTTCTCTAACTTCAGACCTGATGAAAAAAATAAGGAAAAAGATTCTAACTCTTACATATACCATAATTGTTTTTCCTGATAATTTGTCAGCCCTGCTTTGATTCTGTGAAGTTTTTAAAACATGGAAGTTATATATAGGTCAAGATGATTTATTTGTCCTATCCAATTGCTCTTATTTCTACATCACCAAAAGTGTAATTGCCAGTTAATAAAAAGAGTGGTGTACATAAAAGCTGCCAAGCTCAAAAAAATAACTTCAGTTTTATTTCTCTCACAATGTGCTTATTTAGACTATTTGAGGAAGTGAAGAATAGACAAGCAAATAAACATTTAATTAAAAAATATATTAAAGTACGATTTGACATGAAAAAGCAAAAAACAAATGAAGCACTAGAGGAGGAGGCAGCAATTTGAGTGAGTCACCTTAACTGGTCGAAGGGTAGAACATTTGGTGGTAAAACCAGGAAGGACTTGATGACTTAGGTGATGATCTTCCTTGCTGGAAAGAACCTGAACTCACCTCTCCCACCTGTATGGGAAGTATTTTACATCTGCCTTTCCATATGCCATTTTGGTTTGTGCACTCAGGACTTGCTTTTCATGATTCCAGTATTTTCAGCAATTAAGGCACTGTAGGTCAGTCACTAGAAATCAAAGCAGCAAAAACTAGGCTAGAAAATATTTTTTTTTTTTTTTGCCTGCTCTCTGTCTTTTCTGTTGACATTATGAAGAGTGATACAGCTCCCGTATGACTGTGGGAGCTGCTGGAGAGACAGCAGACCTGAGTTCCCAACCATTTTCTGTTTGTCTGGAACAAGGATTTCACTGTGTCCTGGTTTGAGCTGGAATGAAACTAACTCTGTCCAGTGATTTTACTTTCCAGCTAAGTCTCTTCTAAGTAACTGCAGTTTCTGAAGTTAACAGCATATTCTTGCATAAAGTGTCTGATTCTGGAAGTGATAACTCTTGATGTTTACAGCTACTACCAAGGTTAGGTGTGCAGAAAGGCTCTTGCTTATTCTTGCTTCTGAGGTCACTTGTTTTCCATGATGGAGGTGCAGAAAGTAAAAGGTCATGCCTGCAGGGAGGGCTGGAAAGAACAGGGGACCCTAAACTGACCAGTGAGGTATTTCAATCTCTGTTGCTTCAAACAAATAACAGACTCAAACTGTCTCCATGCTGAAAGTAGCCTGGCAATGTCTTGATTATGTAGGGGATCCCTTCATGCCTTATACCTTAAAATGGTAGTGTAGGAAACCTGAACTATGACAAATAGTTGGAAGATCTTGACTATTCTGCTATTAAGGTAGAAATAATGAACATTTGGTTGTATTGAGCAAGATGGGGAGTGCACATATACACAAACATCCTTTACGTTATGAACTGGAATATTAACAGAGTCAGCATAGGAATCACAATTGTTCCTCAATCTTCCTTGGAGAGCTTAGCAGGACCCTTGACTGGTAGAGCTTACAATCAGGTATGCAATGATAAAAATGAATTCCTTCTCTCCTAATACAGCCTTCTTTTTCCTTGCTTTCTGGGTCTCCTGATAATGACAAGAATTATTTGCTAAAAAAAACAAAGAAATAAATATGCTTCACTGACCTTTTCTTATGGACTATGTACTGCAAATCCAAACCAATTTATAATACAAGAATCTTGTCCCTGCAAACATTGATTACTGTGGACATTATTTACTTATTATCAACATCAAGCATGGTGACTACTCTGTGAGTCAGTATTGTGCACAGAACCATAAAAATAGGGCTACTTAGTATTTGTAGACAGTAGCTTCAAAATAAATAGTATTTCAGATTAGGCTTAGATGAGAAAAAAAATCTCAAAGCACTAAGAATAGTCAGCTGCCTTTGTGTGTGACTTACAACAAATCATTAGCTCTCCCTTCGAGTAAAATACAGAACTAAAACTGAAAAATACCTGTCCCAAATATCAAGCTTGTGCAGCAAACCTGAAATTTGATTCTGTCATGAGTTCACAGAATCACAGAATGTTA